GGACCTTGTCCTAGACATTGCCAGCCTGGATCAGTTATGATCAAGCTAGAACTCTCAAGTCCTTGAAATATTGCTGAACAGAATCCTGGGAACTGGGTACCCACAAGAGTGAAATGTTGAGAAGCCACCTCCCCGATGGCAGAGGGGACAGAGAGGGTAAAGATGGCAGGTACCAGCAGTCAGAGTCCAGGAACAGAGCCTGACAGTCAGCTGCTGTGCCAGCCTGAGCCTGCCAGGTGGCAGTCAGAGAGCAGGTGTAGGGAGAGACCTGCCCAGCTGTTCTCTTCCTCCTGTCCTCCCATCTCCAGCCATGTCTGCTGTTGCAGGCACCCTCAAATGCAATCTGCTCAACCACAACAGACTAAGGGGCACATCCAGGGCTGGGGCTCGTGTGGGAGGTGAGTGCAGAGGCCCCTGCACGGCACAGGGAACCCACAGAAGGGTTTCAATAAGAGAACAGCAGGATCCCATGGATTTTCATCATGGATCTCTGGCTGCTGAGTGGAGAAGACTGTGAAGAGGAGCAAGAACCCCACGGGGCAGCCCAGGCTGGATTCCACAGATTGGTCAGATACCCGGGGTGGGAGATGTGGGAGCATCAGGTTCTCTGGAGATGAAGGAAGGGTTCCAGAAAAACAAAGCCTGGTTCCAAAAAGACCAGGGAACTGAGTGGTATGGAGACACACCCAAGGTACACAGTAAAGGGCTGGCACCAACACACACACATGAACATTCACACACACGCTCAGCACACAGTGCACACACACACACGAACACACACACACACGTTCAATAGTGTTATGTCCGCTACAGTTTGGCTCTATCTGACTTCCAACCTGCTCTTCCCATTGAATGTGTCCCTGAAGTGTGCTTTATTCTCCTGTGGGCTTTATTGTAAGAAAGTGTTGATCCTCAAGCAATACATGTCCCATTCGGGCAGCCCTAAACACTATGGGTTTTCTCACAGACCCGGAATGAGTAGGTCCTGGTTGACCAGTTCAGCTGTGTGGCATTGTCACCCCAGACCCAAGCTCTTGGCATCTCCATGCCCTGCTTGCTGGCTTTAGTGTGCTGGGATCTCCCCTTTGGCTGCTTTCCTCGTTATCCAGGGAGAAGATAATGGCAGGAGTTGAGTGCAGGCAGCATGTCTGGCAGGTGACTCTGAGAAACACATGAAGGACAGCAGGGAGGCTAGACCAGGCGGGAAAGAAGCCAAGGCAGGGTGTGTCACGACAAAGGGCTGTGTCCCACTGGGGCACTGAGGGAGCCTCTGAGCCAACCCCTCCAAGTTGAGCAGGGAGATGCACCACTCCATAGTCATCCCCCCTCTTTGGAACACCTAGTCTGTCCAGTAAGGTTCCTGCTTGCTCCTCTCATGCCCAGAGCACCGCGCACAAGCACACACCCAACACTCACACCCATGTACACACTCCTCACACATACACATAAATACATTCACATTAAAGGACAATGACTCTCTCACCCAGATTCAAGAAACTCTCATCGCTTCTTACTGCAGCCTGTGACCCAGGCCTGGCAAACACAAGGACGTGAGCTATCTTTGACTAACAGGTCCCCAAATGAAACTGCCAGCAGAAGTTGCAGCACAAGAGCGAAGGGAACATTCCCAGATGTCCCTTCCCATGGCTGCTCTGGGACTCTGGGACTCTGGGACTCTGAAGCGCCTACGTTTTCCAAATCGACCAGCAGGCGGCGCAAGAGTCACCATGATCCTCAGTGTGTTCTTAAGTGTCAGACGCTCCCCCTGGGGCTGGAGCTGGGTGTGGTGCATGCACTCGCCACCAATTGTAGAAAATGCTGATGCCCTGGCAATGATGGAGCTTGGTTTGTTTAGATGAATGGATGATAAATGGGTGGATAAATAAATGAATAAATGGATGGAGGGCTGGGGGAATAAAGAGAGGAAGCAATCTAAAAGGAAGAAGGCCAGGGCAGGTGTTTGCCTCCTGGGGGATGCCATGGCACATACCAGAGTGCCTGGTTTGAGTCCTGACTCCTCCAGCTCCAGACCTGCGAACTGCTGAAGTGCACTGTGGCGGTATCAGGGGATGGCCCAGGTACACTCATGGTGGGCCCTGGACCCCACACGGGAGACCAGGGTAGAGTGCTGGGCTGACTGCAGCCTGGCCCAGCCCTGGTGCTGTGGGTATTTAAGATTGAACCTTGAAGAATGATTTCTTTCTTTCTATCACTAAGCAGTTAAACATAAAAATAAGTTTTGAACATTTTGAAACACAAAGAGAAGATGAATGGTCAATAGAGAGATTTGGTGTGGACAGTTGAAAGGAGAAATGACTGGGCCCAGTGCAAAGGCTCGTGGCTAATTCCTCACCTTGCATGTGTCAGGATCCCAAATGGGGACCGGTTCATGTCCCAGCTGCTCCACTTCCCATCCAGCTCCCTCCTTGTGGCCTGGGAGAGCAGATTGCCCAAGATCTTAGGACTCTGCAACTCATGTCAGAGATTCAGAAGAAGCTCCTGGCTCTTGGCTTCAGGTCGGCTCAGCCTTGCTATGTGGCCACTTATGGAAGGAACCAGCAGATGGAGGATCTTTCTATTTCTCCTTCTCTATAAATCTGCCTTTCCAAGAAAATGAAATAATTTTCTTTTGAGAGAGAGATGCCAGAGGCCCTGGCATGCGGGGTAAGCTAGCTAGGGAAGCCAGGACAGTTGCATCTCCCAGTCCTGGAGCCCTGGCTGGAGGGTCTCCTGACGCCTCTGCCCCTGCCTGCTGTCAGCTCCCAATGTCCTAGGCTAGCTGGGGCTGGCAATCCCTTCAGGAACGCCTTAGTGGGGTTAGTCCTGCCCACCATCTTGCTCCCACAGTCCTGGGGACACTGCCAAGGCCCACAGGCTTGAACTGTGTCTCAAGCAGCACTGCTGTGGCCTTAGCCTGCCTGGCCTCTCTGGGCCTGTTGATTATCTTTGCTGCACATTAATTTTAACCCTATCCCAGGCTTTGCACAGCATAGTGCTCATTTGTATGTATTAGCTGGGGTAACCCCGCCCCTGCAGGTTTGTGTGTGTGAAAATTCAGACTAAGCACTTTTATCCCAGGGCGTGGCCCTCAGGAAACACTGAGCAGAGAGGGAGATTGGCTGTTCTTAGGTTCCACAAAGTGCCAAGCTCACAGGCTCTATCCCAGCGCCCAGCTGCTCACCCTAATTTGGGATCAGAACCTGTGACATCCCAGGGAATGGTGAGCACCACTGGTCAGCTGAAGTACTCTCCCAACACTCATCTTCAGTTAGTTCACACAGTGACACCTACAGGAAGACCTCTGGGCTAGCTGAAATAGTGACACAAGCAGAAACCTAAATGTCTACTGACAGAATGTGTGAATTATGCATGAATCTATAATACGAAGCAGTAAATGGTGTTTTTTTTTTTTAAGAGCTGCAGGTACCAATACACAGATCTCGAAAGCACATCCTTGAGTACAAAAGCAAAGGACAGAATGACAGAAGGATGTATTCAGTGAAGAGCCATAACCTGACATGTGAAACCAGGCCAAGCAGCACTACTCTGAATGAAGCCTGGGCAGCGTGAGGATAACCAGCCCTCAGAGCTGCCACCCTCCTGAAGCAAAGGCCCAGAGCGCGCAGTGGCCTCAGGCAACCTGAAAGTACCTGGAGTTTGAAGGAAGGAGACCTCCACTGTGTTCTTCTCCACCAACAGCCCTTAACATGAAATAAGGCGAAGCAACGTCTGGAGCAAAAAGTCCTGGTGTTGTGAACATGACCCAGCATTTGAAAAGCACAGGTGGGAACAGCCAGGGCTCCTGAGCCCTGCTGCCCTGAGTTGGCTGCTTGCTTGTGGGGCTTTAAGGGGGGGAAGACAAGAGGTCCGAGTTGCTGAGCTAGAACGGCTGAGCTCAGCCACTCTGGGAACATGGGGATGACCTTTGCCTCTTGGTTCCAAAATGCAGCATGTCCCTGGGAGAACCTGGGCCCAGGCCCAGTACAAAGAGGCTTCCTGCCTTTGGTGGTTTCCTGGCATTCTCGGTGGTGAAGCTCGCTTGCCCTAGATCTCCTTTACAAGGAGTCCTCTGAGCCTCCAGATTTCCTGACCAGCACCCTCACACACTCCACACCCTTAGGCTTCAGTCCCTGAGCCCACTGAGTGGCAGGGCCTCTGCTGGGTCCTGGGGGACAGGGCTGAGCAGGTAGTCCCTCCTGTCAGGGTCTCTGGGCCTCCACAGCACAGTCATGGAAATAGACAGGAGCCCAACTGATGCTCAGCTGCAGTGTGCATTGATGTTAAAACCGCTGCTGTGGTTTGCTCAGAGTGGTTCAAGGGCACTAGGCCTCTTCTACTGCATCCCAACCCTGACATTTTACTATTCATTTGAAAGGCAGAACGAGGATGGAGAGCTCATGTCCCTGCAGCGGATAATCAACAGCAGTCACCTGGCTGAGTACAGGAAGAAACCAACAGTCTGGCCTTTCTGGTGACTGCCCTGCAGCTGCTCCACTTTCCAGCTTCAACCACTTATTGGTAGTGTGGGAGTTCCAGAATGGAGGAAGGTACCAGAGCAGGGCCTCCCACGCCCTCATTGTAGGAGGCCTGGGCCTGAGGATAGGAAGAGCCAGCACCGCTGTGGCCCCTCTGGTGCTGTAGGTCACTCCCAGGCCTCTAGGAGTCTATCCTCTAGGATTCTGTGTGAGGGGAACAAGCCAGACACAAATACTGCAGGTTCCCCCCGACAAGTGAAGGGTAAAAAGCTTGAACTCATAGCAGAGGACAATACTGGCCTCAAGAGGATGGGAAGGGTTGTGGGAGAGGCTGGCCATTGGGCAAGTACAGGGCTGCAGCTGGATCGGAGGGCAATTTAGCAGTCCCAAGTGTTCTGCACACCTACAGATGTTCTCCAAGGACTGACCATCAGGCGCTAGATAACGAGGCCCACAGCCAAGTGCCTGGTTATACTCGCCCCACTGCTGCCCCTTTGGACACACACAGAAATGAGCTCACACAAATGAGATTTTGCTTTTACTATCAAACTATAGAAAAATTGTTTCACTGTCAAATTGTAACAAGTACTAAAGGGGACACTGAGAAAAGTGCAACCCCTAATACAGTAACAAACATCTGAGTTTCCCACTCAATTATTTTCACACAAAAATGTAAAAAAGCACAACCAATTACACATGAGCTACAAATCCAGCAAACAAATGACTGGTCTTTGTTCATCTTCAATGACAAGATGTTGCAAGCACGACAAAGCCTGGAAACCAAGCTCCCCATCATGCTTACTCAATCATTCCTTCAACGGCTCTTCATGCCTGAACTACCCTTCCTTCCCAAAGAGGTAATGCTGTTAGTCAGAAAGGTTTTCTGAGAAGACTGGCTTGGCTTTCTGCGTCTGTTCCAGTCGATTCAAGATGAATTGGCTCGTATCAATGAAGCGCTCCACGCAGTTCACAAAGCAGGCCTCAGCCCGACTGTCCAGCCTCGGCCCAGGCTTGTCCACGCACTTCTCCCAGCAAAGCTCGGTCATCTGGTGCACCAGCTGCTGGAAGCGCTGCTTCTGGGTCTCCACTTGGATGAAGTGCTGCAGCTGTGGGTCCATTGTGCCCAAACCCGCCACAGATGAAGACAAGGAAGAATCCATCCCTGTGCAGCCACACGTGCCGAGACGGCCTCCACACCAGCTCTCCCGCCTTTACGTGCCTGGGCAATGGAGCCAGAGCCACGTCCCATGAACTTCTCAAAGATTCCTCGAATATGCGATTATTGCATCTATTAAAAATAAATATGTATTTACTTAATATAGTTACCAGTTCCTTCATATATTATGCTTTTATCAAGAGGACACAGGTTTAAAAGGCTAACATTAGGCATTAAGCGACCATCCCGAGCTGGGGAACCAGGTCTCAAACAAAAGCAGCCTTGACTTGCCACACATGCCAGTGCCTGTGGAGGAAATGCACCATGGCTGATTACAAACCACCACTGGCTAACAACCAGTTCACCACATTCCAGGCTACTTAACAGTGTGAACCAGCTGGCTCCATCTCATCTCCACAGCAGGTGTATGCTGAAGGAGCAGGCAGGACCACATCTGGAACACAGGGCATATGTAAACATTCTCCACTGCTGGAAGTCGGTCAGCTCAACAATGTGCACGCTGTGCCGTCCTTACCCCATGTCACAGGACAGGAGGCTAGGTTTAGAGAAGCTCCGTACAGCCCAGGTCATAGCACAGCCGGCCACTTGCTCTCCCGAGTCCTGTCTCCTCAGCATGGCTAGACATATGGCTACACATGGCTCTCGTTTGGGTCCCCCTTTACAGAGCATGTATCTGGCTTTATAAAGACGGGAGATCTGTCTCCAACAGGACTGTGGTCTACCTCAAAAGTCCCAAGTTTGCTGAGCTTGTTGTGTCTTGTGACTGCCACAATGTCCTCTGGCATTGATCTTGAAGGTACCCAGGCACCGAGGTCACTTGAAGTTTTGGGCTTGGGCACAGAGAATCCCTGGGAATTGGCTGTAGGAAATCAGTTCAAAGGACTGTGCCTTTTCTCCCATACTGGAGACTTCCAGGCTTGCTGGTGGCATCACAGAGGCTTTTAGAGGCAGAAGGGGCTGCTAGCAGTGACGTCAGATTTCTCAACTCTCCTTGCCCAGTGAGAGAAATTGGGTTCTGTCCTTAAATCCTGGACCCTCAAGATCTAGCCTGGATTTAAGTCTGGGATCTGTAAGACTGAAACAACACCCATATTGGGAGGACTTGGGAAAGCTACCTGCTCTACCACATCTTGCCCAGGCCTACCCCGGGAAGGGGACATCCTTTAAGCTCCTGGATGCCATAGACCCTGGTTTCATTACTGCCGAACCCTCTACCTTCTCTTTTAACCCTCATAGCTAGTATTTTATTATCCAGATGAGGTCACTGCTCAAAAAGAGCAAGAAACTTGTCCAAGCTCAACCAGAATAGAACTGGAACCACAGCAGCACAAGAGAGAAGAGTGCCACTTTCCCATCCTCCACTCCAGGAAGACTCAGTAAGTGAGTGGTCTCCTCACCTGAGCCCTGGGAGCCTTCCATCCTGAAGGTGATGATGCTGGGCAACTACAGCCCCACATGCACCAAGCTCCCATCCATCACCATCTGACCTTGGTGCCTGGGTACCTTCAAGATCAATGCCAGAGGACCAGCTCTAGCTGATGCCTGAACAAACCCCCAGACAGTCCACCCCCTGCCTCAACAACTGTCCCCACACCTTCCCCAAGCTTTTCCTCCACCGGATGGGGGAGCACTCTGAACCTTCGTCCTGGCTCCATTTCAGGCACTATTGCTACCTCACCCCACCCAGGGTAAAAAGGCCCTTTGCTCTCAGCTCCTGGGTACTTTGTGTGTTGAAGTGCTTTGTATTCCTGGATCTGGTTCCTACGGCACAGCAGACAACCCTAACTGAAGAACACTGTCCACCCATCTGGCCTATGTTCTGCAAACATATCAATGTCCTACAAAGACATAACAGTTTGAGTAAACAGGTTTGCCCTGACTGAACATTAGAATGCTGCCCATAAGGACAGCATCCCCCAGAGGATCACTGGTTCGAGTCTCTGCTGTTCCATTTCTGACACAGCTTATGAATGTGCCTTTCTACTAACAATGCTCCTGGGATCAGATGACAACTGAAGTACTCAGGCCTTGGAATACTTGGCCAACCATGTGGGAAACTGTGCAGGAATGCTGGATCCCTGACTCTCATCTGGTCCAGCCCTGGCTGAGGTCAACTGGGGAGTGAAACAGCAATGCAAGATTGATTGGCCAATTGATCACACTCTTCCTCTCTCTCTGGCTCTTTCAAGTAAATGAAAATAAGCATCTTTTAAAAAATGTGGACAATTTAATGGATTTAAGAGTTTAGCAGAGGTGGAACAGAGCAATTTTCGATATGCTTATGAATTATTGTGGCCATTTGGGCAACGAACCAGCAGATGGAAGTCTCTGTACCTATCCCTTTGTCACTTCTACTTCAAGTTCTGCTGCCCAACTATGAGGATTAACTGATTTAAAGGTGGACACTTACTAACTTAACTTTTATAGATATCAACCAAAGTTGCAATGACATTATCTAGATTTGAACCGAGTCTCATTCTAGACTTTTTTGTTCCTTCATAATTTATTTGAGAGGCAGAAAGAGATCAAAACAAGAGCAAGAGTGCTTCTATTTGCTGTCCAGCAACAGCCAGTACTGGGCTAGGGCCAAACCCAGGAAGGCAACCCAGAACTTGCTGGTGGCACAGGCCCAAGTACGTGGCCCACCTTCTGTTGCCTTCTGAGGTGCTCTGACAGGGGCTGGATGCAAGTGGAGCAGCTAGGACTGGAACCGGAGCTCACGTGGGATGGTGGGATCAGAGGTGGTAGCTTAATCTGCTGCCCTACAACACCAGCTCCCATCATTCCTTTTAGTCCTTAACAAGCAAAGTGCCATCTCCACACAGATGAGGAACAATGGGAAAGTACTTGTTTCAACTTGAACTGTCCTCAAAACAGTGTACTGCACACCTAGATCTGCTTGGTTGCAGAAAGTGTCAACATCTGTGCTACTGGGCACTGCAGTCATGGAAAGAAAATTTAGGATGATGGGCCCGTCACAGTAGCCTAGTGGATTTCATATGAGCTCTGGTTCTAATTCCGGCAGCCCGGCTTCCCACACAGCTCCCTGCTTGAGGCCTGGGAAAGCAGGCGAGGATGGCCCAAAGCCTTGGGACACCGCACCCACGTGGGAGACCCAGAAGATCCAGCCACTGCGGCCAGATCTTCCTCTCCATCTCTCCTCTCTGCATATGACTTTTCAATTAAAAAATAAATCTTTAAAAAAAAATTTAGAATGAGCTTAGCAAAATCGGAAAATAACCACAAAATCAGAAAATACCAAGCTTTTTGAAAATCCAAAATCCATTTCTGATGATCAAACTTGCAACAACTAGGTGTAAAAACATACCAATCTGTGTCAACGGCCCCCAATCCCAGTCAGCTTGGGGGGTTCCCGCCTCAGGGAGCGTCCTATGGCAGAAGACCCCCATAAGGAAGCTGCAGGGAGGGGAAGGTGCGGACCCTGGGCTCCCCCACAGCCAATCCTGAGACTGAACCCTTCCCGGCTTTCAGACGCCAACACAGTAACAGGATTCCAAAGTCACCTCCACGCGGTGGGAGGGCAGCGGGGTCAGCCCCGGGGGCGCCCCACCAGGCACTAGGGGGCACCCGACTTCTGGGAGTTAAAACTCGCACCCCTTCACTGAAATGACGTCACCTTCCACCCTGCATTTCTCTCGGACTTAAAATATTGCCCCCACAGGAACCACTCAGGCGGTCCCGCCAGGATCGATAGAAACTTTGGGAAGTGTCTGGAAGGGAAGCATTCCCGGCACCGGCAGGACCGGGGTGGGAGAAGGCAAGGCGAGGCGTGACCCGAGCTCGGCAAGGGTCGAGGGGCCTGGGGTCCGGGCCCCACCCCGGGGCCGCTGCTGGCGCCAGTTCCGGGGCTCGGGCCTGCTGACCCCTGTCCATGGCCGCGCGACTCGGACCTGCGCGCGGCGACCTCCTCCCGCCGACTCCCTCACAGACTACGGCCCCGGACGCCCCTGCCTCACGGTCTGCAACCCCAGGCTCCCCGGACGTCAGAAACGCGCTGTTCCCGAAGACTAGGACAGGGCGAGAACCGCAAGGTGAGGAAACCGCTTCCACGCGCCCTACTCACCTCAGCTTAGCTACCCGACCCCGGAAGCGAGCACTCCACCACGCGGGATCCACCGGGCAGTCGACCGGCGCACGCACCTAACGTCAGCGCGCAGGAGACGCGCGGTTGGCTGATACGGAAGTGGGCGGGCCCTGGCTCCCTTCCCCCGCCCACCCTCCGCGCACGCGCAGACCGGCGCACCGTGCTGGCTGCCGGCTGTTCCCTAGGGCTTAACTCAGAAGGCGGATTGTGGACAAGCACGGTGTCCAGCAGGTTTCTTATCAGTGGATAGGCATGCTGGGTGCAATTAGCTAGTATGTGGTTGAGGACCATAAACTGAATAAAAGGCAAGAAAAATTTTGGTGAACTCACTTGTTAGTAATAAATATTTTCCCCAAACCTAAGGCTTAATACACAAGGTAATTTAGTGCTTAAACACACGAGCCAAACTGCTGTTTTCAAAAATATTAAAATTAGTAGGAAACAAAATAATTTTCATGCTCTGACCAAAGCCTATCATATGTACTATTTTGTGTGGCAATTCTATTTCCAAGTCTTTCTTTAAATATGCAAAGAGGGAAGCATGCATTCATTCAATATCACAGCTTACTTGTAGGAGCAAAATGGCGGGAGACTCTTTGCATGTGCAGTAGTAGGGGCTGGCAAGATAAATTGTAACACAAATGAATGCTATTCAAAGAGAGAACTGTAGTGCACCTAATCAAATATGACCCATCTCTCTGGGAGAATTGGGACACAAAGAGGCACCCAGAGAAGACCATGAGGGGAAGCTTGAAGTCAGCAGTTCGTAAGTTAAACAGAGCTTCAGAAAAAACCAATGCTGTTGACCTTGACTGTGGACTTCTCACCTGTATACATCACTCTACTGCCTGTCAAGAAGCCCTATCAAAGTCATGCAGTATTGATAGGAAATAACTCCAAGAAATACTAGTTTTTAGACAGCAACAGGGAGAACAATGTATGCAACATGACAGGTCTGTGTTGCTTTTTTTTAATGGAGATGAGACACAACTCACATGCAGACACAGGAACTGGTGAGAATGGCTGGTTCTGGGAAGAAACTCTGGGATGAATAAACATTTTTATCATAGTTTTTGGCACTAATACTTTCTTACCATATACATGGCTTATTTTTGTCAACTTTAAAAAAGAAAAACCTGTTCAAGAAATATTTGACATTCAAGAATAATAACATCGGTGAGCAAGAACTCTAAACAGGGGAAAGTAGATGTGCTCCTGGCCAAGTCAAGTTCCGATAAACCAAATGCCCAGATCCTCACTCTTGTTTAGGACCTAGACCATTCTGTTTAATGCCCAAAATGGATATTTTGAGAGTCACAAAAATGTGCACATGTTCATCTGAGTAATTCTACTTCAGACAATCTGTCATAAAAGAAAGAAAGCAGCTTCTGAAGAAAAAAGGCAATGTTATACCATTAAGCTTGTTAATGCCACACACCACTGGATAAAATGTAACACATATCAAAAATAAGTGTGAACGCTGATAACACGGTAACATAATATTGCTTATAAGTTTTTGTTCTAAGGGGAAAAATAATCACATACACTTCCGTGTCATTGTGTGAATCAGTTAAAGACTAAGATCCAAAAACATAACTGATCCCCACTGAATCATGTTACAACCAGAGCAACCTGCACTTTTCTCAACTTACACCTATGCTTCCACTTTCATCTCTTCCTACTTGGTTTCATGCCGGCAACACCCATGTCACCATGTATCCAGAGCCGAGCGGAGGGTTTAGGGTTGAAAAGAAGACAACATGCACTGGGTCATTCGTGTAAGGATAATGCCTTTTATTGAAACTCCAGGCTGCCTTTTATACTCTGCCTAGTTCCTCCCATTGTTTATCCAATCCTCCAGTGGCCGCCCTAGAATCCCTTGCAGACATAACTTGACAAACAGGAAGCAGGAACTTGTGGTTAAGTTGGGGGGCTAAATGTGTCATGCGAAGATTGCACGCCCGGTTACAACTCTTGAGAAACAAACTAAGCTGTGAAGTTAACCCTTGGAATGACAGAGACCCATTAATCAAGGATGAACCAGCTTTCCCAAATCAAATAGTCAGCAAATACCCAAGATAGTGAGACAGCTCTTTGGGTCCTAAGGCAGCTCCAATTATACAGATTTCAGTGTAGACATTTACATATAAGGTTATTCAAGGTAAAATCCAAAGTTTGAGCTCTGCTGACCCCATTTCCCCACCTTGCTATTTAATTCCTTTATTTGAAAAAGAGAGTTACAGAGAGGGAGGAAAAGATAGAAAGGGAGAACTTCCATACACCGATTTACTCCTCAAATGGCCATGGCAGGATCCTGGAACTCCATTTGCAGCTCCAAAATGGGTGACAAGGCCCAAGCACTTGAGTCATCTGCTGCTTTCCTGGAGCTGGTTTAGAACTTGATTACCCAGGACTCAAACTGGCACTCATGTTGAATTCAGCATTGCAAACAGCACATTAGCACATTACTTCCCTGTAACTGTAAAAAAGGCATTTTGCCTTCTCTCAGTTTCATATTTTAACTAACAAAACTACCTACCAGCCTCACTGGTGCTGTTTCTCAGAACAGATCCCTGGCATTAAGAGACACTGCATTACACTTGTTTATTTTGTATCAAGTCTGTAAAATTCAGGTACTGTCACAAACCTGACTGAGAGAGTAAAAAAATGGCAAAATGGATAAGGAGATCTTCCTAAAGAATAAGTCAGGAATGTTGTGTTATGAATGTCAGCTGACAATTGCTCATTGATTTGTCATAATTTAAAACCTTGCCTCTTGGGCCCTGCTGATGGCTCAGTTAGCTAACCACCTACCTCCAAGCACCAGGATCCCACATGAGCACTGATTGATGTCCAGACTGGTCCATTTCCCATCTAGCTCCATGCTTGTGTCCTGGGAAAGCAGCAGATTATGGGCCAATACCTTAGGACCCTACCTCCACATGGAAGACTGGAAGAAGCTCCTGGCTTCTGGGTCTGAATCAGCTCAGCTCCAGCCATTGTAGCAATCTGGGGAGAACCAGCAGATAGAAGATCTTTGTCTCCCTAAATATACCTTTCCAATAAAATTTTTTAAAAAGAAAAGCAAAACTTTACCTCTTATAACATTCTGTGTGAAACGAGCCTTCCTGCATGAATTGCTTGAACATCTGCTACCCTAGATGTGTAATCCATTTGTAATTCCCCTAGTAAGCTCCTTCATTCTGCTTCCTTCTTTTTTTCTGCCTCAGATTCCCACTCATTTCAGAGGAACATTAACTACTCTGTATTCCCATGGTTAAGAGATGAATGTTGGTAGCTATTTATTCTCTTTTTATTTCTTTCAAAGGCAGAGTGAGACAGAGAGACAGAGATATGGAGGGGGCAGGAGAGAGAGAGAGAGAGAGAGATCATCTCCCATTTGCAAAATTATACCTCAAATGTTGGCAACAGTCAGAGCTGGGCCTGATCCAAGTTAGAAGTCTGGAATTTATCCAGGTCTCCGGTAGGTGGCATGAACCATCACCCGCTGCCTCCCAGCATGTGCGTTCGTGGGACACTAGGATCAGAAGAGCCTCAAAGGTTAACATCTGGCATCAATCACTCAGCTTCCATGGTGAGCGGGGGAAACAGGTCTTCAATAAAACAAATTTGTTTTGCTGCATATTCCTGCTTTCATGGAGTAAATGAACCCTAGTTGATTACCAGCTATCACTGGTTAACAATTTATTCACCACATTTCAGAATAGCTAACAGTGGACACCAGCTGGGTCCATCACACCACCACAGTGGGTGTATGCCCAAAGAGCATTCAGGACCATATCTGTAAGGCAGAGAGCATCATGTGAACATTTCTCACTGTTGGAAGTCAATCAGTAAGAACTCAGGTGAGATACATTGCCATGGTGGCCTCAGCCTGGCACAGAAGCTCTTCCAGCAGGATGGGAGACCGGAGGAGGTGTCATGGATCCTCACCTTAGCTGTGTCCTGCACTGATTTGGGCATCACCCACATGAGATTGCTGAGCTGGGCTTGCTTCTGTGGTTCAAGAGCTGTGCATCTGAAGGGACAGGAGGCTCTCTTCTACCATTTCAGGGTTGGGATAGGGGAGAAACTGCTCAGTGGCAGGTGAGGGGTTAATGGGCAGCCTATAAGCAGATAGGCAGGGATCTAGGGTTTTTAGAGTAGAGGACTGCTGTTTCCACTAGAAGTCCAGAGTCCAGAATGCCCTTGAATCTGTGTCTGGGCTGGGGAAAAGAAGGGACAAAGGACAGTGGCAGCATTGGCCCCTCCTAGGAAGGACAGTCAGGTGAGATGGGGAAGTGGAAGGAGGGGGAAAGCTGGAAAGTCAGTAATTGTCAGTTGCATTGGGTTGGATGGGAATGTGACTCTTGTGCTCTGTGGGAGAAGAGTGGAGGGGTGCAGGTAAGAGAGGGCCAGAGACATTGGGTGGAAGGACAGAAACTGGGTGGAGTTGGGACTACAGCTGCCCAGCATTCTCTCCTGGCTTCATGGATCCTCAGAGAGCTGGGGCAAGAAGGTGGCATCCTCCTTGTACTTGGTGCTTAAATAGTCTCTAGAATCAGGACGTGGAGTTCCATTTCTGGTCTGCTGGTCAAACTTAGGAAAGTCTCTTCCTCCCTCTGCCTCAATGATTTCATATGGAAAACAGAATGACAGCCTTTCCCCGGATTCTGTGGGGTATTAATGAGGGGATGGGTACAATGATATCAGGGATTATAACATAGAAGGTGCTTCACAGAAATCAGCTTCCTGGGGATGGTTGTGGGCAAGAGATGGAGCAGGCAGCTTCCTCAAGCGCTCCTCATTATTTGTTGTGGCCCAGAGTCAGCCAGGCTCCAGTCAGCCCATCTCTAGAAGGTTCAACAGAGTTGAGGAATACTCTATTCCAACCCTCCACGGAGTCCTAGAACACCACAGCTGACCTACCACTTACAATTAGTTACTGTGCCCTATGGCAGGGACGTGGGCCATGTACTAATGTTGCTTAGAGCAATCTCATGTGTAGATTCCCTTTAATGGAGAAGGATTCCAGGGTGCTGGGAGA